GAACCGGAGGATTTATGACTTCTAATATCATTTCACCCCCGTGCCCATGAATAACAGATTAGAATATCATTAAGGAGTTGAGGAATTTGGCCCAAAGTGAAACCCAAAACTGGCATTGGTAATGGCTTTCTCTTCTTACATCATACTTGCCAAACTTTGCAGAAAGCAGAGCAAGTGAGGTAGATCAAGTGAAGTGATCAAGCCGAGATCAGCAGTAGGAACTCCCCAAGCCAAGGCAGAGTATGTGTCTCTGCCTCTTGACTTTGGCCATGTGACTTCTCCTAGCAGAATGCAGAAAGGGCCTCTTGCATGTCCACCTGCATTTGTGCATCTCTGCGCCCAATGGCAACTCCTTCCGGTAGCTAGCGCCCACCAGCCTTGCCTTGGCATGTGCCTTGCTGGCCTAACAACCTACGTGAAGCAGGACCAAGACAGGGAGCAAAGTCACCCAGCTGAATCCTGCCTGCAAGCTCCAGACCACCTCTGATGGCATAAACGAAGCTGTCCTCGATTCTCCCATGAGGTTAGGATGGCGTGTTGCCACAGGCAATCACACACAACTGGTTTTTCCACTTTTATTCCCTGGCCCAGTGGGTGGCAGTATATTCACTCACAATTAGAATCATTTTATAAAGGTCCCCATAACCTCCTTGCGCAAGGCCATCCCAATTTCTGTATCTCTGGGAGGACAATTCCAAAACATAACCTACAGTCTGCATGGACAACACTGAGCCTCAGCTACTCAGAGAGGTGATCTGGTCATGATCAGGGGCCCTCACTTTGTTATCTCATTCACCCGCTTGTTGGGCTGCTGGGCATCCCTACCCTATAAATGCTTACGCTCTAATTCTTCACTTGATCTTAGCCAAAAGGCCGAGAAGCGCTTACACTCCAATTCTTGATCCAAACTCAGACACAGCCTCATTTTTACAAAGAATGGCTCACATCCATTGAGCACTTACAGGTGGCAGGTACCGTGTCGGCACACATGACCTCGCCTCCCTGTGCCTCTGCTTTCCCTTCTGTAAGAGGAGGGCAGAACAGGGCGCACCTGCCTCACTTGAGGCAAATGCATTTGGCAGGCTCAGGATAGGAAGTGACTTGGGGCAAACTCTCCATAACTAATTGTGCTATTCACAAACCTGGAATATCCTTGAGGTCTTTTTTTGCTTTTTAAATATTTATTTATTTTCATTGGGAAGTCAGATATACAGAGAGGAGGAAAGACAGAGAGGAAGATCTTCCATCTGTTGATTCACTCTCCAAGTGACCACAATGGCCAGAGCTGAGCCCATTCAAAGCCAGGAGCTTTTTCCAGGTCTCCCATGTGGGTGCAGGGTCCCAAGGTTTTGGTCCCAAGGCTTTGGGCCGTCACTGACTGCTTTCCCAGGCCACAAGCAGGGAGCTGGATGGGAAGTGGGGCCACTAGGATTAGAACCGGTGCTCAGATGGGATCCCGGGGCGCATTTAGGGTGAGAACTTTAGCCTCTAGGCCACTGCGCTGGGCCCTAACCTGGAGTATCTTTGTGACTCTCGGCATCTAAGCTGAATCTGCCAGGATTGGAGCGATGGGGCTGGGGGTACACAAGGAAACTAAGGATGAGGAGCAAAGGAGTGAATTTCATCTTTTCCAAAGCACTTTGCACACTCAGCCAGCTGAAGGCAGCACTTGCTTTGCACTAAGGTGGGAACATGGAGAATGGCAGGAAAAATAACAGCACTCCTTTTTTCTAATTTTCTTTATCTTTTTTAGGATTGATTTTATTTTTATTAGAAAGGCAGATTTACAGAGAGGAGGAGAGACAGAGAGGAAGATCTTCCATCTGCTGGTTCAATCCCGAATGGCCATAATGGAGCCAGGAGCTTCTTTCAGAGTCTTCCACATGGGCGCAGTATCCCAAGGCTTTGGGCCAGCCTTCACTGCTTTCCCTTGCCACAAGCAGGATGGAAGTGGAGCAGCCGGGACATGAACTGGCGCCCACATGGGTTTCTGGTACTTGCGAGGTGAAGGTTTAGCCACTAGACCATCACGCGGGGCCTTCTAACTTTCTTACAGATTTATTTATTTGAAAATCAGGGGGACAAAGAATGAGAAAGAGACTGAGACAGAGTTCTTTCATCCACTGCTCCAGTCCCCAAATGGCTATAATGGCTGGAGTCAAAGCAAGGAGCCTGGAACCCTAGCTGGGTCTCCTTCAAGGAGGGCAGGGCAGGGTCCCAAGCCCTGAGCTTTCTTGGATACACGAACAGGATGCTGGATCAGCAGCAGAGCATGCAGATTCAAGCCAGTGTTCTGATATAGGATGCCTGACAAACAGTAGCCTAACCCACTGTGCCACAGAAGCCACAAATAAAAGCGTTCACCACTCGATTTTGGTTCCCTAGCACATACAAGGGGTTCTTTCTCCTGGAGCATCGCCAAACCACCACCAAGCAGAAGCGCTCAGACTTCTTTCTGACCTTGTGACATGACATGGAAAGGTGCAGCAGGAGGGCAGAGTTCCCCAAAGCACCTGCCTGCTGGAGGAGGAGCCAGTCAGGGCTTTCACTGCAGATGCCTGAGGCGCGTCCAGCAAGCGGAAACCAGCAAGCCAAGTCTGTGCGACAGTCCGACTGACCGCCGCAGCTTTCCCTGTCTGTGGGAGTCCACCTCCCCCCACCCCGAGGGCAGTACTACAAGGCTGGCTTTTCTAGAACAACCTCTGAAAAACAGGCTCTATGTGTATACTCCAGCTGTGTCCCGATGCTCCCGGTTCCCACCTAAACATCACCCTCTTGCTTGCACTGAGTGAGACTCTGTGGCGTGGAGTGGGGAAGCAGGAGAACCCGGGAAGATAATGCAGGCAAGTTCTGGTATGTGCTGCAGCTACAGCTGGGTTTCGTGGGTGCAGGCAGGTAGAAGCTGTGGGAGGTGTCCCCAGAGGGCGGTGTCCCAGCAGAGGAAGGATTTCAACCAGGCCTGGCGGTGGCCCAAGGATTTTGCCCTGGTGGGTTTGCTCCTTAAAGGTTCACACTTGGCCTTGGGTTCCCAACCCCTCCACAACTCAGTAGAGAAAAGGCCAGACACGACCCTAGTGGTAGCAAGATTTGCCTAATTACCCAGGTGGAAGGTAGGGGTAGGCCCAAAGATTATAGTTGACTTCCGGCTTGCTACGGGAGCTCTGCTCCAGCCTTGCCTTGCACCTGCTTTCCCATCCCAGACCTCCTACCCGATTTGCCAAAGCGAAGGAGGAGGAGTGTCAAGCCCAGGAAGCTGCCCCTTCTGTCTGCCAGGGAGGCAGCCCTCACAGGGAGTGCTCAACACAGTGAAATCACACCGCACAGCTTCACATCCCAGGCTAGCTGCTGTCTAATTAGGGCAAGTTGTGTAACCTCTCAGGAAGCAGTTTCCTCCTCTATTAAATGAGGATAAAAACACAGTCACATGGGGCTGCCGCCATGGCATAGCACATTAAGTCTCTGCTTACAGGGTAAGCATCCCATTTGGGCACCAGTTCAGGACCTGGGTGCTCTACTTCCCATCCAGCTCTCTGCTCATGGCCTGGGAAAGCAGTCGAGGACAGCCCAAGTCATTGGGACCCTGCATCCTCATGGGAGTCCTGGAACAGCCTCCTGGCTCCGGGTTTCAGATCAGCCCAGCTCTGGCTGTTGTGGCCATTTGAGGAATGAACCAGTAGATAGAATATCTCTCTTTCTGTCTCTCCTTCTCTCTGTAACTCTGCCTTTCAACAAAAATTTTAAAAGTTTAAACAAATGGATACAGTCATCTCTGAGGACCCACAGGGAATGGTCCGGGTGCCTTTGAGGGCAGGAGACTCCCCGAGCGCGCCAGTCACCGTGACGCAGCCCGGTGTTCGCAGTAACTTCTGCCTCTCCTCTCACACTTGCACATCATCTTGTGTAACACCTAACACACCGCTAATGCTGTGGCCAGAGTTTTGACACTTCACTCTTAGGAACTCAGGACAAAGAAAAAGCATCCAATATCATGTTCAGTACCAATATAATTTTTTTTCCTCAAGTACTTTCAAGCTGCGGTTGACTAAATCTGCAGACGTGCCATCCGCAGGAAGGCAACACTGCACACTCCCCTCCTCCCCGCCCCCGTCACTGAGCTACGGTAGTGACTCAGGGAAGCGGACATGATTCAGTGAGGCATAAATGCAACAACAGGCTCAGTGGGGGCAGTGGTCGTACTGAGAAACGGATTGTGGGGCCGGCACTCGCATGCAGTAGGTCAAGCTGCTGCCTGAAGAGCTGACATCCCATATAGCTGCTGATTGGAGCTCTAGCTGCTCCACTTCCAATTCAGCTCCCTGCTACTACACCCGAGAAAGCAAAGGATGCCCCAAGTGCTTGGCTCACTGCCACCCACCTACCCGACATCTCCCAATACCCTTACCCTGGGGACCAGGCCTCAATACAAGTTGGAGTGAGGACACACCAGATGTAACCCCTAGCCCAGAACACTGCCAGTTCTCCAGGGTTGCATGTCTGCTCCCCTACCTGCAGCTCGAGAATATTCTTTACTCAAACAGCAATTTTGTCAGGGCCACGGGGGGTGGGGGGGACTTCCTGTGGCTGCTGACTTTATCAGTGTGTTTTATTGAAGCCGTTTCTTTAAAAAGTTCAACACAAAAAGATGTTTCATCTAACAGGAAGGATGGTGGATATGAGAATGAAATCTTGGGATCTGTGACAGTAACCCTAAATGGAGCGATATGTGCGTGGCACAGCTGTTACGATGCTGCGTGGATGCTGCGTCCTAGGCTGCAGTGCCTGTGGTCAAGTCCAGCCACAGTGTCCTGCCCACGTGTAACGGGGGGTGGGGGCGGGGTGTGCAGCTGGCTCTACTTTTCGAGTCTGTGCCTGCCACCCATGTGGGAGTCTTGGATGGAGTTCTAGCTGCCAGCTGTGACCAGGCTCAGCTCTGGCTCTTGTGAGCATTTAGGGAGGGAGTGAACCAGTGGATGGAAGCTACAGCTCTCTCTCTCTCTCGGGGCCTCATTCTGTGAGAATGGGAACTATTCATTGCAGTGCCCGAAGCTGTCGCTGTGACTATATTGGGACACAGGTTATGCCTCTATCACAGTGATTGAACTGCAGTGCTGATGACGAGACCTGGGACATTTTCCTAAAGTCGTGCTACAAAATGTGCTAATTACAGGGCCCTGCGTAATAGTCAAGTGGCTAAAGTCCTTACCTTGCATGCACCGGGATCCCATATGGGCACTGGTTCGTATTCTGGCAGTTCCATTTCCCTTCCAGCTCTCTGCTTGTGGCCTGGGAAAGCAGTGGAGAATGGTCCAAAGCCTTGGGACCCTGCACCTGTGTGGGAGACCTGAAAGAAGCTCCTGGCTCCTGGCTGCGGATTAACTCAGTTCTGGCTGACGCAGCCACTTGGGGAGTTGAATCTGCGCATGGAAAACCTCTCTTTTCTTGCTATAAATTTGCCCTTGAAATATCAAACAAATATTTAAAAAAAAAAAAGAAAAACATAACTTAAGCTCAATCAGTAAGAATTAGCCAATAGATTTAGAATTGTATCACTAGGAACCTTCCAGTGGACTACACAAGAGAAGCACGTTAGAGAACTGTAATTCGTCAGGCATTTCCTTGACTTCCTTGTCTGTTCGCTAAAAGCTTTCTTCTTGCTTCCCTCATCGGAGCTGCAGAACCACTCCTGGTTTGCAGCTGCCTGATTCATGACTCATCCTTTGCTTAAATAAACTCTTAGAAGTTGTATTGTGCCTAATTTAGTCTTTAAACAATTTTATTTATTTGAAAGGCAGAACTACAGAGAGGGAAGAGGGGGAGAAGAAGAGATCCTCCGTGTGCTGGCTTCAACACCCACATGGCTGTGGCTGGGTCAGGCAAAGGGCTGAGCCAGGAACCCCGAGCTCCACCCAGGTCTCTCTCCATGGCGTCAGGGGCCCAAGCACTCGGGCCATCTGCCACAGCTTCCTCGGGTACATTAGCAGGGAGCTGGAGTGGAAGTGGAGCAGCGGGGATTTGAACCAGCACGCCTATGAGATGCTGGTGATGCTGGTGAGGTTTAACATGCTGTGCCACAATGCCAGTCCCCTCATGTACTTTCAAACGGCTTCAAAAGACAAACTTTCAACACCAAGACCAAAGCTTCCTTTATACCTGGAAATACACACCTCCTCACCTTTTCATTATCATCAGCAAGAAAATCCACATTTAATGCTCTTGCAGTTAAGTCAGTGTCCGTTCCAGGTCAAGGTGTATGTGAGACAAAGCAAGGTGGGGCACGCGAGAGCGAGTGCAGTCCCTGACCTCCTCCAAGCCCAGTGAGGGGACAGAAGCACCAAACACAGTCACACACGACAATAATCTTACACAACAGGACAGAGAGGCCTGGATGGCATGAGCAGACACCAGGAGACCTAAGCATAGATTCCCAAGAGCTCTCCAAGCAAGCCAGGATGTGAAACGCGGAAGTAAGATCCAAACAAAGCATACAGAGGCACAAGATGCCGGGCAAAGCCGGCTCTCTGATACGTTGCTCCTTCGTCTTCTCACTCCAGCAAGGTCTGCTTTCTTTGCGAGCACTTGTGTCTGATTCCGGCCCAGAAGTGACATGTAGCTGGGGTGGCAACTGATATCCCAAGGCTGAAGTCAGACAGCCCTGGTTCAAATCCCAGTGACACAGACCTTGATCGAGTCACGCCACCTGTTTGCTTCCTTGTGAGTGAGTGCCACGGCATCTCCCTGAAGTAGCGTTGCGGCGGGTTTAAACTAGCACACTCAAGACGATGTTGGTTTGGATTCTGAATCTGAAGTGGGGCACGCCTCAGCAGGGCTGGTGGCCAGGAACACACCTGTTTGCTCCCCAGCGCCAGTGCAGGTGACTGCAAGTTGGTGGCGCCAGATTCCAAAGTCTCACCAGCAAGGAGTGGGGCTCACAGCCACCACACTTGGGGGGACTTCTCTATAGAGCCTCGGTTCCCTCCTCACACGTGGCTTGGTGTCAAAGGCTTGCATCCCACGAGAAGAATGCAACCAGGTGGGAGCCACAGCATTTTTGCTGATTAAAGCTTAAAGGCCACTCAGCATATTTAGAACATTTATTTATTTCAAAACGTTACAGAGAATGAAGTAAAGATAGAGATCTTCCATCTGCTGGTTCACTCCACACATGGTTACAAGGACCAGGGCTGCGTCAAGCCTAAGCTAAGAGCCAAGAGCTTTTCCCAGGTCTCCCAAGTGGGTTGCAGGGGCCCAAGCACTTGGACCATCTTCTATTGCTTTTTCCAAGCTATTAGCAGGGAGCCGGATTCAAAGTAGAGCAGTTGGGACACAAACTGACACTCATCTAGTATGTCAGCATTACACGTAGCAGCTTTACCGACTATGCCACTACACCGACCCCAGGCACTATGTTGAGGTCACCCATGTGCCCTGCCCAGATTCAAAGGGAAGGCACAGAGACCCAGCGGATGAAGGAGCAGCCATCAGATGGCCATGGCCATTTCTGAAAAACATGACCTGCCACAGTGGCCTAGACCAATGTCCATCCCTGTGACATATTTTCTGTGGAATACCTGAATCGGGGGACAGGAGGGAAGGCAATGGGGAATGAGCTGCTGCTCCCTCCCCCTAGTAGCACCTGACTTGGGGTTGGGCCCAAGCAGAGCCCAGTTCACGCCATGGTGAGAGCTAAAGGGATGAACCCTTGGCAAGCTGCATCCGACGTGTGACTAGTGCCGCATGCCTGTGAGGGCTTCTGCTTTCTGCTGCCAGGGCTGCCCACCTGTCCTGAGGCTGGGTTAGCCCCTGCTGCAACTGCATCGTCAACACAATCCCTCAGCAACACGCACCAGCCCAGGCCCACAATCCCCATGACCACAGCAGCCTGGAGATGGACTGGCCATGCCCGAGGCTGCATAGCCTGGGTGCTACTCACTGCTTCACACCAGCATCTCTCCTGCTGTCTTCACGGGAGCTCAGCCTGACTTCCACAGCATCCTGAAGGCTGTGCCTGGGTGACACTGCCGGAAGAAGCTCAGAACTCCGGATCGCTGGTCTCCATCTACGACACACAGAACGGGCCATTTGCAGAAGGGTTCGTGTGCATTTTGGAAAACCAACCACGCCCCTCACACCCACCTGCATCCAGGAATGCCGACATCCTGCTTGCAAACACAGCAAGAAAAATACAAATACCAGGTCAAAGCTCAAGCCCCCAGACCATCAGCACCAGCACCCGTAGCCTTGACCAGGCGGACAGTGTTGGAATTTGGAGTGTATCTTTCAAGACTGCTTCTGGGCATTCCAACATCCAATTTTCATGTGGTCATTCTTCCATCTAAGAACCCTTATGCCCGGATAAGACAGCCTCATGCCTGGTTAACTTGCACACACTCTCAGCTGCTCCATCCAGCTCTGTATCTGATCTCTGCTCCCCACGCCCCTCCCCATCCCTGTCCAGGCAGGTGTCACACACATCCCTTCCTTCACATCCAGGTCCACAGGTTTCTGACCAGGAATCTCCTCCTTGTGTCTCTCCGGTACTTATTATTGGGCTCTGTTGTTGCTGGCTTTATATACTAAGTTATCCTGCTGTGTTTCAGCCCGGAAACTCCTAAACTCAGCCTAAAAGATGGTTCTGGGAATACTGTTCCCTCTCTTCTTTTCCTTCCCAATTTTTTATTTAAATGCATTGTAGTGCAAAAAGATGCTGTCGTTTCCCCCGCCTCCTCGCTTCCCCCCGGCAGAAAGAAAAGAATATCATCCAGAGAAAGCCATTCTACCGTTATCAGATATACCCTCTGTGGCAGGGCTGCCCCCTGAGCAGCCGCTGGCCCTCCAAGGCCTTGGATAACAGGCCCAAATAGAGACATGCTGTGAGAAGGAAACACAGAGACCCAGTACAAAAAGATGCAGAGCAAACACCTAAGCAATGTCTTCATAATGATGACATGCACAACTATTTCAAAACACTGAATCAAACAAAATCCCTGCATTTTAAATTGCTTATTTATTTATTTGTGACAGAAAGAGAAAGCAAGGCTAACAGAGAAAGCAAACTGCCGTCAGCTGGTTCGCATCCCAGAGCGCTCTCAATGGCCGGAGGAGCGGCGGGGAGAGGGCAGGAGCTCCACGCAGCTCCCCCATGAGGGGCAAGGGCTGGACCAGCTGAACATCACCTCTGCCGCCCGGAGCCTGGGTTAGCAGGAAGCTGGAGTCCAGAGCTGGAGCTGCGTGTCAACAGCCCAGGCACCCGGCTACAGCACGCAGGCATTCTGACTGGGGGTGTTACCATTAGCTCAGACGTCTGTTCCTAAATAAAATGTTATTTTAAAAAAGATTTTTGTTGTTTATTTGAAAAGCAGCATGACACAGAAAGAGAAGGACAGAGGGAAACAGAGAAAGAAAGGAAATATTCCATTTACTGACTCACTTGTCAAAGGGTCACAACTGCCAGGGTTGGCTCAGGCCAAAGCCAGGAGCCTGGGACTCCATCCGGGTCTCCCATGGGGGTGGCCAGGCCCCAAGCACCCGGGCCACTTCTGCTGCTTCCCCAGGCGCAGCGGTAGGGAGCTGGATCCCAAGCGGAGCAGGACGCTACCCAGTGCTCTGAGACAAGATGCCAGCGGCACAGACCACAGCCTAAGCCACCATGCCACAACACCAACCCCAGTAAAATAGAACATTACTTTTACTGATAGCTTTCAACTTCAAAAAAAAAAAAAAAAGCAACCCCCAAAAAGAAAAGGACCAAATGACAATACAGCTCACATGACACTCATAGAGTATTGCTCTTCAAAATTGTTTCCCAAACCTTACTGGCCTCCAGTATTCACTGCTCAGACTGGTATATTTGCTAAATTCTTAACACCCACCCGCACACACACATGCTCACATACACACCACAGAAACACAAACAGGCAACACACATCCAAATACACAGGTATCTTTTTCTGCTTTGCACACCTTGGGCTCTGCTGCCCCCTTCTGCCCTCATGCTGCATAGTCTCTAAGGTGCCATGATGCCAGCCTGCCGTGGCTCAGCCTTTCCTACAGCCTACCAAGGGGCTGTAGTCAATGATCTCCCTAGTGCCATGTGCTACCCAGTGGCAAACCAGACCTACTCGGCTTGCTCACA